GTAGGGAATTGTCTAATAAACTTACTGTACCATTGGCAAACTCGTTTTGAAAAAACATGGACAATTCTAGAGGCTCCCACTGGAGAAAATCACATGTGGAATACCTGTTGTCTAAAAAGGAAGGAAGTGATCTTGGAAATTACTGTTCTTAAGGTTAAAGTCTGTTCACAGTGAAATAATGGAAAGAAAAGTTACTTACTAATACCTAGTTCAGGTAGATTGCCTCTGCAGATCCACATGCTTGCACACATTAGGGAGGAGAGATTAATAAGACTGGGACTTTTCAGCTTGGAAAAGAGATAGCTAAGGGGGGATATGATAGAGATCTATAAAATGACTGGTGTGGAGAAAGTAAATAAGGAAGTGTTATTTACTCCTCCTCATAACACAAGAACTAGGGTCACCAAATGAAATTAATAGGCAGCAGGTTTAAAACAAACCAAAGGAAGTATTTCTTCAAACAACGCACAGTATTTCTTCAAACAATGTCAATTTGTGGAACTATTTGCCAGAGGATGTTGTGAAGGCCAAGACACTAACAGGGTTCAAAAAAGAATTAGATAAATTCACGGAGGGTAGGTGCCTCAATGGCTATTTGCCAGGATGGGCAGGGATGGTGTCCCTAGCCTCTGTTTGCCAGAAGCTGGAAATGGGCGACAGGGGATGGATCACTTGATGATTACGTGTTCTGTTCATTCCCTCTGGGGCACCTGGCATTGGCTATTGTCGGAAGACAGGATATTGGGCTAGATGAACCTTTGGTATTGCTGTTCAAAAAGCAGTAATCTTTGCAGCCATGTGAGAGCACTCTTGTACATCCACAACTGTTTGGATCTGTGGGTGCAAACGGGAACATGGACCTGATTGCACTCAGTTCCTTTCCACTTCTCCCAAAACCTCCATCTAGAAAACTAGAGTATGGGAAGGAGAATGGAAAGTGTGGATCTGCAGAGGCAAGCACTTCAACTAATTCCTGTAAGTACCCTTCATTTCTTCCAGAATTCCATCTGCAGCTCCCTTCTTAGAGATAAGACAGAAGTACTCCTCAAACTAGACTGCTCTCCTGAAGCAGGCACAAGCGAGGAGGGCAAATCCAGGGTAATGCTCTAGGATTGTGTAGTTTTCCTAAGTAGCAGCTTTGTAAATCTTGTTTTCAAAACTAAGGAACGGTGCCAGTGAAGCTGGTTGTTTTTTGTTTTTGTTTTTGTTTTACCTACTACGATGAACACTCAATCACCCTGCAACCCCAGGTAGATGGCATGTTTGAAAGCACAGCCTAATTCATTAGAAAGCCTTCTGATGGAGATATGCTCCTACATTAACCTTAAGGCAATACAAGGTGCATAGGATTTTCAAAAGGGATTCTCTTTAAAACAAAACAAAAAGAAAGTCAAAACTCTTGTCATCTTCTAAGTAAGTTGTGAGGCTCCTAAAAAACTGGGAGAGAAATCAAGTGATTTTTTTCCCCTGTGTAGACCAGACCTAACACCCTAAAGGAGGAATTTTGGGTGGGGTGAAGAGCCGCTTTCCCTTTTGTGCAAAAAATTGTAAATGGCGTATGCTAGTGCTGGGAATATGTCTGATGCCATACTTAAAAAAATCGAACTGTTTGTGATTTGAGAACGAGAGGGAAAATGTTATTTACAATACTTAAAACAGGTGGTACAAAATATTCTTTTTTAAATGCATTGTAAGGAGCACTCCTGACTTGGCAGTAAGATGGCCTAGATCATTTAAGAGGGCTCTTCCTTCATTGACTTCCAGGGGGAATTTGCACTTGTAATACTGTATAATCTTAATTTGATTAAAAAGGAGCAACCTGGAATTCTTACTAGAAGACATTTGAGATTTTTCCAAGTTCATTAATGTGCGGCTCTAGTGTAAATACTCTCTTTTTTTGAAAGTAATACTTTGCCTTTGTTGGGGAATCTAGACCACAACAGAAGGTGCAGTTTACTCTTTAAGGTGCTTTGGAATAGCAATCAAATAAGAAGGAAGCGACAAGTCTTCGACTACCAATCTTATAATTCACTGTTAATACTTCATAAATCTCCATCTGTTCTTCAAGGATGCTAATAATCAAATATTTTCATTTTAATTTAGTAAAAAAATCTTTGCTTTTGACAGATATGAAAATGACTGCCACATGCTTACTTCTACCAGATGTCTTTGGAGATGATTCCAGTCTGTTTGCTGCTGTGAATGAGGAGGTACATAAATGTGTCTGTAGAGGCTAGCTACACTTCCAAACAGACTAAAATCCTGCTCCATTTTCAGCCACATGTATTAAATTTATCGTCCTGGTTTTAGAAGCACACATGCCACACATTGTTTTTTCAAGCAGCTGCTGCTTAGATATTGCACAACATTATTAAAAAAACCCTAAGGAAATGCCACATCACATGGCAGCTAGGGGCTTTTAGAGGAGTGTGATCTAGTAGTAAGAGTGGGGATAGACAGCAATCCTGGTCTCTCGTCATGATTCTACCACTGACTCCTGATTGAAATAAGTCACTTAGGCCCAGATCCTTGAAGTGTTAGGAACCTAACTCCCATTGGTTCCAATGGAAGTTAGGTACCTAAAGTACCTTTTGTATCTGGCCCTGAGCCTCTGTATCTGTTTCTGAATGGTGACATTAACCCATCTTTCAGCCAAAGGTCTCAAATAACCTGACTTGTTAACCAAGTTCACAGCATTATTTCCAAGCACATTTAATTCTCTTAACCTTTACTGCAGCTTTTACAGTTCAGCTCACCCAAGTGACATCAAACGATCATTTGCCTTAATTTTTTTTTCCAGGTGAAGGTGTTGACACCAGTCTTGGAAGTAAAAAATCCCTTCAGTGTTAATACATGTGAATTTGCTTTGTATATAGAAAAAGAGAAACTGGCCCAGCTGGATGATTGTACTATGGCTCTCGCTGCTCTGTTGGCTGCATTTCATGTGTTCGGCATCCAGTGTCCAAAGAGGATCCACAACACATTTAACTTTCTAGAGTCACTGATTTTAGAGATGAAAAGTCCACAATCCCTCCCAAAGAAGATAAAGAGAAAACTGGAATTTGAATGTCTGAACATTTAATGATGTCCAAAACACTTGTCTCAGGGGAATGTCTTTTGGAGCAGTTGACTCTTTTGTCTGAAGAAATCCTTTGTTGTAAAGATAAGTTGGTGTCATTCTTTCCAGTGGAATTGTATTCATATTTATAACTCAGCTATGTTTTTTTTATTGTACTGGCTGCTTTTTTAGTTTGGAAAACATGAGCATTTTCATTATTTTCAATGGAAATTCTAGAGCAACTTTAGCCTTATTGAAAAAATAAAATTTTATAAGTAGATGTACATGTGGGCAATTTATTTTTCGAAGCTTTTTATTGCTTTTGGAACAAGTTTTGACCAAGTCAGAGGTAAGAAGCATACTTTGATTTAATTCAGTAAACATTGTGTTGTCTGAGTTGTTATTTGAATTCATGTTTTGGTGGGAGTTACTCTAATAGGAGTTAAATCTTTACCATTACAATTTGATGGTAATTGAAAATGTGCTGTGATTAGTATTTTGCATCATAAAAATGATGTGTCCAATTTTTAATTTGCAAATACTAGAACTATGACACGACACAATTTGGTAAAGACTGAAGAAATTCACTCATTCATATCACATTGTTCACCTTTTTTACTAGTTACTTGAACTTACTAAATAAAAATCTGCCAGGATGAGATCTCAAGCCAGTGAGAACGAGTTGTTTGGGACATTCCTGTATGCCTGTAAAACTACATAGCAGTTGCAATGAGAGGAGAGACTTGTCTGACTATATTTGTTTTTCTTTCTCTCACCCCTGCAAATACTGCAGTGACTCATAGGGTGCCCATCTGCTGAGGCATTTACAAGTCAAGGCTGATGCTCCTCCTCCCCCTCCATAGCCCACTTATCTCCTAGAGCCCTTGCATCCCTGGGATTTCAGGGCCTCCAATCCCACAGACAGATGGAAATTGGCTACTCTTTGCAGAATTTAAAGGACTCTACCATATTAAAGCTATCATAGCGAAATTTGGAGTTTGTGGTCCTCATGATGCTAGCCTTCAACACTCATTTGTGCAGATTTAAAAATGTAACTTTTGTGCTTTCTCCCCTGCTGCCCCTCATGCTTGGCAGAAGCGCCCCCTAAAGACCTGCAAAATTATCTCCTCCTCCCAATCTCACCTTAAAACTATCCTGTGGCATGAAGCCTACAAACTATGACAACGGTGAGGCTTCTCGTGTGCTGAGAGCACTGCCTATCATGCTGAGCGGTACTGTCCAGTGTTTCCTTGTACTCTCCATGTGTGTGTCTGTATCCAGCTATTGTCTCATCAGACTTAGTCCTTGCTCCCAAGAGTTTGCAATCTATCTTTTTGTTCTGTGTTTAGGGTCCTGGTCCATGACTTGGGTTCCTAGATGCTATGATAAGATCAATAAGGATGCTGGAAAAACAGATGACTCAGAAAAACCTTATTTTCGTTTAAGCATTTAGAAGAAAATGTACTTGGTTATAGGTTAAGATTTGCAAATTGCTTATCCCAGAATTGGGAATTACAGATCAAATATTACAAAAATTACAATTAAACCATTCAGATGTTAACACAATTTAAGAACTTACAACTCTCTTCATTTGTTGCTAAAACAAAACAAACATCTTACAAAACAAACGTCTTACAAACATATAACAGCAGTAGTTTTAAGAACAAACCAGACTCCTATCACTTCTTTGGCTGTACGTCTAGGATGGGTCAAGATAGAAAAAACTTCTCCCATCTTTTGCCGCTTACACAGTTAAAGCTGTAAATTTACACAAACCATGAAAATGTTATGCACTAGTGGTTAAACTTGCTCACTTGGAGAAAAACATTAGGCCTGATGGCATTCTTACCCAGGTATGTTGCCTCCTTTAAAAAGAAGCAACAAAATGATGTTCTTTTGGAACCACTTTTGCATTCATGAGCCATTTGCAACACTGATGCATTTTAGTTGGACAGATCCTGTCCAATTCTTTTACCACCACCATTTGTGGGGACACCATGGCCATCTAACCTCCAAGAGTTGGACTATGCCGTCTCATATGCACAGAACAGCAATATTTTTTATATTGACATCGAAATCCGGAAAAAACACTGCAAAAGCAAGGGGAAAATTTTTCAAAAACAGAGCAATTACAAAAAGTTTGGGTTCTGGTGCTCTGAGATTTAATTCACAGTTAATGCAGTAGCAGCCCTGAATCAAGCTGGCATTTTGTTAACAAGAGGGTTATCTAAGTTGTTAAGTAAAAGTTTGCTTTAGCAATTTAACCTTCAACACTTTCATTTTACCACTTTTGCTTTTTCTGAAACACCTTTTCATTGAACCTTTAAAATTACCCAACATCAAAATAAAAGATCCCTCCCACCCACCAAAAGAAGTTAAAAGATACAAAAAATCTTTAAAACAAGTAAGTTTTTTTAAAAGCAAAAACATTAAAAGTTTAAGAGAAACATGGAAAGCCAACAAGCTCAAAACATTTAAGAATTTTAAAACAAACATCTCCTATGCCAAGATGCCAGCTTCTGCATATTTATTAACTCTTTAGATCCTAATCACTGTCTAACATTAAACAGTGTTCAATATTGAGGGTTGGGTATACAGAGACCTCAGCCTGCTTAATATCATGGCACAAACACCATTAAAAATTCTTTTAACCTTTTATTAAAGATAAAGAAAACAGGGGAAAAAGCATTTGTAATGTATTGAATAAGGCTTTCATTTTAACAACATCCACACTGCCATACAGAACAGTTCAGTTGTGAGTATTGAGAAGTACGTGAGCATAAGCTTCTCCAATTCATATTTTATTTTGTATTGTTGATACAATAAGATTGCAGTTTAAGTGTACAAATTTTGAACAAAATGTAAAAATATTATTTATGCAATGCCATGGAAGGAGATGTTTTACTTGGAGTTATGGCAGGTACCAGTCACCTAACTGTTCTGCAAGTGGCACACGGAGCTCTTGAAAACCTTTAAGGAATTCCACCCCAAGAAAGAGAAATTAGGAAAAATGACAGGAAGATTTTCCCAGACTTGTGTGTGACAGAAATGTTCTTTTTGTTCTGCATTAAAAAGCTGAACATTCTCTCTCTTCCCCCTCCCCGCCACAAAAGACCAGGAATAAGAGATTGTACGGGGAAAACTTCTCCAACTAATCACCCTCTTCCTGTGAAGAGAATTCTCACCAGGAATGTTCCAGGTCAGCCCTTAGTTTTCAGGTAGGTAGGCCTTCTCTATCTTAAAGTGCATCTGTTCTATATTGTGATTTATATACTGAGTGCAACATCTTACCTGCCAAATGCTTATAACAATCCTTCAAGAAGGGTCTCTTACTTAAATGCTTGCTGTAGGACACCTTAGTCCTGCTAACAAACTGGTGAAATCTGTGCCTTAACTAGTGAGTGTCACACTCCTTTTGAATATCCCTTTTCTTCCTCACTTTAATCACTCCTCTGCCTGCAAAGATTTTTCTTGAATCATGGTGACTTTCAAGGGGCTCACGAGTGTGAAACCTTTGAGGTCCCATCTCAGCATTCCATTCTTTTCCATTATTGCAATAACTACTAGAGATTAGCATATAAAGATTTAGAAAATGTTTCCCCTTTTTGTTTATATTCTTGCCTCAATATATATATGTTCCTTCATGTGCTGTATAACATAGTGGGCTCCCTTATATAGAAAGACGGGAGTGCCATGGTGCAGCATGACCAAAGGTATTCTATGGAAGTTAAGCTTTATTTTTCAGTTGCAGCCATCTCTTTATTGGTCGTTTGGTAAGTTACACTAAAGATGCTGGTGGAAAAAACTCAACATTTTTGTATCGTGCAAAAGTAAAAACATTCAGTTATAAAAAAAGCTAATTTCAACCCCAAATTTTTTTGTTCCTAGCAAGTTGACAATTTTATAAACTGTAAAGTTATACACTGTAGCAAAGTGTTACTTATGTAGCATAAGCATTGCATTTTAAACTATGGTACAAAATTAACATTAGCCATAACAGTCTCAACTGGCTACTTGTAGCCTAATTTTTGGCTAATCAGTTTTGTTTTGATAATAGGAAGTAAAGGCTACTGAAAAGGAAAATGGATATGTGAAATATACTTCAGGAATTCTTAGATCATATTAACATTTTCCTTATTTTAATATAGGATAAATAATTAGTGAAGGTTTTATTGACACCTGAATAAAATTAGAAATACTAACAGTTCATGAGAGAATTAGCGCCATAAATGTGGCAAATAAGACTAGCTGATGCAGTTTTTATACAGTACCTTGTTAAAAGCTCAAACATATTCCACAAGAGTTCAGGTGTACTGGCTCTCAGAGTATAAATAGTCCACCAGTGCTGATTTATTTTTCTTCCTTTCTTAGAGTTCTTACTTGACAATTCTAGCAAGTCTTTGTGCTTTGAATAAAACATGAGTTCCAGTGGAGAAAACTGGCTTCTAAACAATTTCCATTCATCTCAAAGTTCATTGTGTGAGTTTTTCTCTGCGGCTTTGAACATCAGAATGGAATTGAAGATTTTTAGGGCCGGTCCCAGTTTAATGCTCATTATCTTGACTATGTCTGCTTGGGTCATTAGTAGAAATGCTTCTCCATCAATTTGCTTTAAAACAAAACGTGAGTGAAAAACAGAAAGAAAGCTATTAAGTCTGAGGCTATGGTACTTTAAATATTTAAAGATAATTTAAACTGAAATCCCCAGTAAGCCAATTAAAATTTCAGACTGCCATAAGTGGAAGCTTGAATTCAAAATTCAGAGGATTTCTGGTTCAAAATCCCTATATGCAAATGTGTCATTGGTTTACATCCAAAGTTATAATGACCCTATTTTTTGTTTCTATTGGAAAAATATTCTGTCCTCTGAATCTGGATTTCAGCCTAGTCACATATCTGAATCCACCTTCCAACTATTCCTTGCCTCAAACCGCCACAGAAAGGTTCCCTGATTTAACTCCCACCCCAGACAAATAATCTAAGATCCCTTTCTTCAGCTGCTCTTTCCTTCCCCATTAAAACAGACTGGTCTCTCAAGGTCGCTGCTCTGTGCAGTGCAGGGGCTGCCTGAGAGAGCCTGGCTGGGGCGTTTGGTGGCAGGCTACCCCCGGCCAGGCTGCTGGGGATAGGGGCTGAGTTGACCAGAGTCCCCTCTTCCCCTACTCTGCCTCGGCACGTTTCCAGCTCACACAGTCCATCCCCAGCAGCTGGGCCTGGGGTGGCCTACCACCACTGCTGCTTCCCCAGCCAGGCTCTCGTAGGCAGCTGCTGCGCTGCACTGAGTCAGCAACCCAGAGCGGCCAGCTTCCGCCACATGAGAAGCGACTCGGTCCTGCTCCCCGCCCGGGGCCAGCTGCCAGGGAGAACAGCTGAATGTGCCGTGGGGGGTGTGTGTGTGCAGTGGGAGAAGGACACACACACACACACACACACACACACACACCCATGATGTGGGGCAGTGAGAGCGCAGCGGTCCCGGGCTGGGCGCAGCGGGAGCTGGGCAGAGGACACACATGGGGCCATCACGTGTCCTCCCCTTTAGATTGTGCCGCCCAGTACGGGGAGGCACGTGTTGTCTACGTTTGTGGTGCAAACAACGGAGTGAATTTTAGGTCACGTAGCCATCAAGATACTGTGGCGCCATCTGACATACTTGTCATGGTTAGAGTGCCAGCTGCACCTCTGCAGGACTAGAGATCCTTTCTGGTCTCTCGGCAAGCACCCCCTAAGGTGTCAGAATTTCACAATTCTCACTTGTCTAGGCTGGGCAAAAACTGTGTCTACCCAGCAGGTCCACCTGGGTTTGGCACTTGTGGGTCTTCCCGCCAGGAGTCTGTGACCAGTGGTGAATATAGTGAACAGTCAGATGACTTAAAGTATTTTTTAACAGTAGGAACAAAGGCCCAGATCTACAAAGGGACTCAGGCATTGTGATCCTCAGCGTTGCATGCCTAGAAGCCTAGAAAACTCAGGAACAACACTGAGATCCACAAAGCCTGAGTTAGGAGCCTTTGAATTCAATCCATAAAGCCAGCATGCTAGGCAAAGCAGCCAGTAAGAGATGCAGATACCAGGGGTGTGGCCTAAGCCCTTCCCCTCAGACAGACAGGTGCCTCCCTGCAGCCCAGACTTAGATGCCTATCTCCATGACCTGGGGGGAAGATAGGCAATCCTTTGTGTGTGGGGCCCAATGCAGTAGGTGTGCCCAGAGGCCTCCTAACTCCACACAAAACATCCTAGGGGTTGGGGAGCTTAGGCAGGAGATAGGTGTCTGGAAGCCTAGCCCTAGAGGGAAGCAGTAGCATGCATGCCCAGGGGCAGACACAATGGTGCCTAGGGAAATTTTACAGCAAAAACAGGTTCTGAGTGAGGTGCCTACAGGCTTCAGCAGCAGCTCAGCAGGAGTTTTGTGGATTGCAGTAGAACTTCAAAACGGGACTTAGTCATCCAAGTACTTTTGTGGATCCAGACCAAAGCATTTAGAGAAAAAGAATGTTAAAACAACAAAGGGAACGTAGGTGCTTAAGTCCAAATTTAGATCCTCAAAACCCCTGCTCAGCTGCCATCTAATCCTTCAGGCGCCCAAACACCCTGGGGATGCCTAGGTTTCCACTGGTAAAGTCCCCAAGGTACCTAAACTTTTCGCCGTGGCCAGGCACACAACTGCCTCAGTCCTGGCACCATCGAGCAGCCTGAAATCATGTTTAAGCCCCAGTGGGATTCACAAAGTCGGCATTACCCCCCACCTCATCGGCAGGACCCGATTCAGTAAACATGCCCACCTTAGAGCATATCTACCAGATTAGAACCTGCACAAAGCACAGCCTGTGATGGTGCCCCCTCTTTTACCCAATGGACCAACCTCTCTCTCTCTTTCACATATCCCCTTGACGGTAGGCTAGCCAGGCCTAACTTCTTCAGACACCCCTAGTAGGTATGTGTATTTCAGTCTGGTGCCCCTGAACAACTACCTACGCTTGAAAGTCCCTTTTCATCCAGCCAGCGCTCCTTTGTTCTTGCCAGTTCACAAGAGTTTGGTTCTGCTTTTCAAAACCAGTTTGCTAAGGAGGAGATGGTTGGAACCAAAAAAGTACCTTATTAGTTTGGGCACTGCTCTTAACAACCCTTAAATGTTTACCAAGAGGTGGCTTACCTTGAGCCATTGTTTTGCTTCCTGCTTCCTCCCCTGCCAATCAAACTAAACTAACTTTCACACAGTAAACATCCCAACAACCAGGTCCCATATAATATACATGGCTTATTACAGAGCTGTTCCGTTTCTGTCACAACTCTGTCTAGGTGACTTAAATTGCAACCACAGTTATTTGCAGCCACAAAACTACAGGGATAAAAAGGCTGGTTAAGGCTTTGCTGAAAATCACGCTCCAAGTCTCATCTTTGATATATTTTAACTGCCCATTCAATGACATGCAAAACCATATAACCTTCCCAATATTTATTTCACACTGACCTCAAAGATGTATTACTGTGCAGGTAAGCACACTTGGATACATTCATTTATATTTATTTTTTAAATTTGAAGTTAAATTTATTTTTCAACATAGTTTCTTGTTCTGTTTCTTAACAAAACTCTTATGGGAGACCACGGGCAATTTTTTCAAAAACACGTAAGTCTCATTTCCATATGTCACGTAGGCACTTAAGTGACATTTGAAAATGGTTCTTAAGTGCTTTAAAAAAGTTCACCTCCAAATCCTGAAGTCTGCACTCAGGCAAAATTCCCATGGACCACCATGGAAGTCTGGACTGAGGAAGGGTTGGAACAATCACCAAGAGTTGTGGTGGATTCTCTATCACTGGCAATTTTTAAATCAAGACTGGGTGTTTTTCCACTTTGGGGCAGTTCTGTGGTCTCTGCTATACAAGAGGTCAGACAAGATGATCACAATGGTCCTTTTTTGCCTGGGAATCTGTGACAGAACGTAACAGAAGTTAAGTGTATAAATACCCTGTAGGTAAAATCTTTACCCTATCAATGTAGAATGCAAGCCCATTACAGATTGCAGGGAAATACGGAAATGTAACACTTCAAACTTTTTATTTATCATGCTCACCTCATCTTTGAACACCTTGCCATGTTCTTCACATCCTGGTAAACTCCGTATGAATTCAGAAACCTGCCACCAAATCATACCAACAAGTTTTTTAAAAACCTTAGCTTTCTCCCAACACTCTTGCCCAAATGCAGATAAATAGCAAAGACAGAAAAACATTTTTCACCTGTCAGAGATAGATTTGTACATAAAGGAACTATCTTCAGTATTGCCTCTTTATTTACTTGTCATGAAGTGAAGTTAAGGCTCTGATAGCTCTACAGTGAGTAGACGCAATCAGTGGAAGCATCCCACTAATGTGCACTTTACACTGAAGGAGGTGGTACTAAGAGAAGCAGAATGCTGTGGCTGTGATACTGAATCCTAGAGGGAAACCCTTCTGAAGTAAACCTACCTCATCTGTACTCCATTTGGAAACTTTACTGGCAGGGATTCCAGCCACACTTGGAAGGAGCTTGCTTTGCTGTTCCCAGCGCAAGGGTAGGCATGGGATTTGGAACTTGGAAGACAAGAAAACTGGCTGAGGAAGAGGCTTCTGGCTGCTGGGTTCTTCTATGTCTATAAAAGATACAAAGAAGCATTAAATCCCTCAATGAATAACAAGATCGGTCACGATAAAACATCCTCATCATTATTGACACGTACTTCCACACAAAAAATGGTTCTGCTTTACCTGTACGGGTGTAAAGTGCTGCAATCTCCCAAGGGTGGACACGTTTATATAGCATAAAAATGCTCTGTACTGATATAACTATTCCTGTTCGGGAAGGGGGAACAAACCATACTGCTATACAACACCTTTATATCAATATAACTGCATCCACACTAGGGTTGCATCAGTATAACTATTTTGGTTTAAAAAAAATTGTACCCCTAACTGAAATAATTATGCTGGTGCAAAATCTGCATGTATAGACCAGGCCTTAGTTACTCCAGTTTTATGGTGGTGTAATTTCATTACAATCAGATCTGCACTGGTATAAAATTGCACTGGTGAATCAGGCCTATTATTTCCATGACACACCGCATTTATGTCTAAGAAAATATTTTCAGCTATTCTCAGTGTTTTTTTACAGAAAAATAAATATCTGCAATGGCCCTGCAGTTCTGCTGTTTAGTTATATACTTCATTTGGAAAATGTGTTTAATTCCTCCATTTGGAAGTTTGTTTTTCACGTCCATTTTCCTTTTTCCATTAAACATCCATAACTCAAACCAGGACAGTTCAGTACTTGGCTCCCTCAAAGGCAACCCAGCTTGAGGCTAGGCTAGGCAGAGCAGCTGAGTGCTGTGCAATCTGGAGAAGTATAGCAATTATTAATGTGTGTCTGAGGCGGGGGTGGGAGGAGAGAGTGGAGAGCAGGCCTCAAATGATGGTATTCTCAAACTGAACACAAGACACCAGTGTTCATTTCAAGCAGGTCTGCATTCTACTTGGAAACACAGAGGGAACAAACTTGCTAAAATCTCAGGCACCAAACACTTCCCAATTGCTGAGTTAAACTAATCTAGAATTATTTTTTGAATGAAGGTAGCACAGTGAACTGTAGCTCCACTCCACATCTCTAAACACTGTTTTGTAATCACTTGTCTCTTTACCACTCTGCATACTATTCCCCCTTACACTGTGCAATCGTTCATTGTCTCTCCAGCCTATTTTCACCTTTCCTGACTGATATTTCTATTATTCACATTGTCTTTATACTATTCTCTATCAGCGCATGCTCCAAAACTAAGACTTGTTCCAAAATTCCAAAGCTGAGGTCCCAGTACCACCACCTGTTCTGAACCAGAGAGAGATATCAACATTGATAGTTAAGGTTGCCTAAAACTTCCTATTAAAAGCCTGTTTTCAGTAGCTTATAACTGTCAAACTTTAACTGTTCCAGCTGAATTTTTTCCATGCTGAATGTCTGCTGTTTCAGACAGTTTCAGCAAAAACAGTTCAGCTGTTTCTAAAACAGAGGATGGGGGGGGGGAGGTAGTTTTGCTAATGCTAATTCCCCCTCCCCCTGCAACTATTCTTCACAGCATTCTAGTGCCTCCACGCTTTGGAGCTGGAACCTGAGATTTGGTAGGGGGAGAGTGCTAAAGTTAGGTGCCTTTTGCTGTCTTCATGAAAATACACCCCCATTTTACAGAGTTGTAAGACTGAAAATTGCCATTTGCACAAGCTCAGTAAAGCTTGTAGATGCTTGCTGCCAAAATCTCCGAACATTTCCTCTATACTGAGCAGTAGAGCTGACTGAAAATTTTCTATCAACTGTTCCTGACAGAAAATTGGGTTTTCAACACAATTAATTTTTTCGGGGAAAATGCCTGTTTTCCATGAATTTTTTCTTTTGTGTGTTGAAAAAGTGAAAAGTGAAAACTAATTATTGATTTTAAAATGCTGACACTGTGCCTCATGAGAGTTGCAATTCAGGTGCTTCCTGTTCCTATTCTCTATGGGCTGGACTCCCCCGCTGGACTTCATTTCCCTGGATGTACTACAGCTATGTGACTACCACGATGCATTGTTTCTCCTAACCCAGAAGCTGGGATCTGCTTAATTCTGACACAGCCTAACATGTGAATGGCTAACATTGCAACCTTTTTATGTGTTTTATGTGTTTGTGTGTATGTGTGTACACATGTATTATAGCTCTTTACAAATCCTTAGAAAACTAGATCCTTTCCCTGCAAAGTTTATAGTTGAATACAGGCAGGGGAAAAATAATGCATGTGAAAAGTTTGTTTTGTACAGGCTGAGTTTTACTGGGAGTGGCCAACAGGTTTGCTGCGGTTTTATCTCTCTTATATTCAAACTCTCTTATCAATGTTTGAATTTAAGCTGTACCTCACACACAACAGAGACTGAAGATGGCCTGATTGCTAGAGCCTTTTTCTCCGAATCCCTTGGCATATAAACTAAACTAGCTTGGATTCCCCTTGCACTCAGACTCTGTGAGCCACACTTATAGGTGACACTAAGTGTAAATTACATCCTAGTCAGTGTAAATCTAGGTAAGGTAGAATTTGTCTACGCAGTGTTGGAACCAACCTAACTGAAGGTGTGAATTGCAACCAATGTAATTATTTTGGTTCCATTTACCATGAAGAGAAGCTCTAAAGCTAAGGGAGTCTAAAATGCTGTAACATGCACTTTGAGGGTGTAGACTCCAACATACATTCCCTCTCGTGTTCCTTAGGCAGACTCACCTCTGAATTATGCCCAGTGTCTCTAGCTGTCTGTAATCTAGTGGTCAATAAGACACCTATCTTGAGCCCTGTATCCACAGTATACACATTCTGCTTTTATGCAATATTTTTACTAGCTTTCCATTTAAGTTGATAAGAAATATTATGACAAACTTGCCTTGTAAGAGAATTGTTCAAAGCTGACAAATTTGGGGAAAAGGAAGATTCAGTCACAAACTCTTGCCAGGTGATTTGATAACCAGTCCTCCAACTGAGTGACTAAGAAGCATCAAAAGTAGGATGAGAGAGATGACAGCCTACACTTCTGTCCCCTCCATTCCCTGGATGCAAGCTGGATTCCAGTTCTTGTTTCTCAGCCCGCTGGTAGCTAGCTCCATGGAACAGTGCAGGGAGCATGTGCTGCAATCAAATTAACTGCCTCTAGTGGGGAAAGCTGGAGAAAAGAGGCTGCTGTAGGCAGGTGTCATCATGGCAGAGTAGAGAAAGTAAACAACACACTGGGTGCCTGGCAAAAGCAAAATGGTGAATTCCACAGCAGCTTGGGAAAATGCCAAATTACACAGCCAGAGAATTGCAGAGTCCACTGGGCTCTGGTTGAGATGAATGGTGTAACACCTCTCAGAGCTATTGTTTCAGGATTTCTGCAGAAGCAGGCAGATGGCAGTCGATCAGTTTACACTCTGGTTCTCTCTACAACCATGAGGGTTCGAAACATAATTTTGTTAATAAAAAGAAATATCAGATTCTGGAGCACAATTCCATGGGGCTCTAGTTTTGTTATTATAGGTTGAGATTTCAGCTTCTATGTCAGCACAAACTCAGATACCCCTGTTACTCCATCATGAAGTGTCGTTATAATACTCAGATACCTACTCCCTATCTGGGCATTTTTTAGTAAATCATGCCACAACATTATACAAATAAAAGAAGAAGGTGAAGAAGAATAGATTAAGTAATTAAATATAGATGTTAAGTAATAGTGTCCTCACTTTACAAATCTAATTCTGCAGAATCCTCTATAGAAAATTCAGACCCTATCAAACTCCTTTGGATCACTTTGTTGAAAATAACCAAGGACTCAGAAAAAGATCAGTACTATGGGTTCTGTCTTGTGCTCTGCCAATTAGTCTAGCAATAATTAATTACCAAACCACCTTTATATAAGATCTTGATTTGGGATTTAAGCATTAATTAGCACGGTGCTGCTAATGCAAATACATTATGGACAAGATTCTCATTACTGCTCCAGCGCCTTCACACCACTCTAAAATCCCTAGCTCTGGCCGTGGGAGGATTCCTCCACACAGGCATTATGGCAGGACTCCAATTGCAAGCCCTGGGGCAGGAGGCATGCATGTCAGGAGAAGGGTTTCAGCATCAGCACTGTAGAGATTTTGGGCAGTATGGCAGCCCAGAGGGGAACCCTGTGGGGCTGCTGTAATTTAGATACATCCATAGGGCTGTCTACATTAATGCATGGGCCCTGGACTAGTCCACAGTCAGTGGAGTGCAAAAGTGGCTTAATGCTAGGGTGACCAGATGTCCCGATTTTATAGGGACAGTCCCAATATTTGGAGCTTTTTCTTATATAGGCACCTATTACCCCCCACCCCCATCCTGATTTTTCACACTTGCTATCTGGTTACCCTACTTAATGCCAACTTGGCTCCTCCACCCCTAGGCTGCGAGTTCTTTACTGCTCCTTTAAGAGCGCAACACAGAATCTCACACTATGAAAATATTTCAGAAATCAATTTTTTTTAAAAGAGTATCAGTTTTTTATGATGGAGCAGACATGGTCTTTATTTCTTTAAGCTGACTGAAAAGACACCCTTTCATTTTACAAGGCTGACCCTTGCTAATTCACACTAACTGCCTCTTTCCACATGATATTTGAGAGCGAGCAGTTTAGACAGCAAACAGTGACTAAAGTTGTGGTGTGGAGTGAACGAGACTGTAGTCCTGCAGATTTGTGTCTTCCACAGGCACCGATTTTCCAAAGTGCCGGGGGGCGCTTGACTCCTGGCTCTGCCGAGGCCCCGCCCCCACTCCACCCCTTCCCTCAAAGCCCCACCTCTGTCCCGCCTCTTTCCACCCCACCTCTTTCTGCTCAGTTCCGCCCCCTCCCCTGAGCGCGCATTGCGTCCTCGCTCTTCCCCACTCCCCATCAGAGCCTCCTGCCAGCCGTGAAACAGTTGATCCCGGTGGGCGGGAGACACAGGGAGTGGGAGGCGCTGATCTGTGGGGCCCGCTGGCAGGCAGGAGGCGCTTGGGGGAACTGATATGGGAGCTGCCAGTGGGTACTTAGCACCAACCATTTTTTCCCCATGGGTGCTCCAGCCTAGGGTTACCATACGTCTGGTTTTTCCCGGACATGTCCGGCTTTTTGGCAATCAAACCCCCGTCTGGGGGGAATTGCCAAAAAGCCGAACATGTCCAGGAAAAATACCGGCCGGGCACTTCCTCTCCCGCGGCTGCTCTGCTCCTCCCCTCTCAGACTTCGGCTCTGTTTAAGAGCCAAGCTGCCCGAGCCAGCGCTACCGGCTTCGGCAACTTTGGCAAACCCTGATTCTGAAGTGCTTCACTTTGCATCCTTAATATTCTTTCAGTATAGTTTTTTGGTGGAGTAGATATATTTTAAATTTATACAATTCAGCATGGGCAATCAGCTATTTGCAAACTCAGCGGAGAAAAATAATCTTAAAATGAGACTTTGTATGCCAGTATTCAATTCAGAGCTCATTTTTACAGCTGTGATAAAGTGCTAGGCACAATCTTCTCTGACCACAAGATGACAAAAAACACAGGCGTCAAATATGCTGCTGGTATAAAAGGGCACAACTCACTTGAAGTCAATGGAATTGTGCCTCCTTATTTCAACAGTGAATTTGGCCTATAAGCTGAATCACAAAGTAGTAGCACACTTTGGCTTTTATATTGCAGATCTTAGTGCCAGACATAAAACTACTGCTAAGTTACCTCTAGTTTCATTTAAGGTTGACAGCTCATTTTCTGTCTCCTCTTCTTCACACTCTTCCTTCTTAGCAGAGTCCTTAGCTTGCTGCCCTCCTCTGAGGAAAACAAGGTGTTCAGTTTTTATTAACTTACATTAAACCTTTTAAATGTGACAAATGCCATTATTAACTTTATTACAGTCCATGTTACTTACACGAATAACACTATACTATAACCATAAAAGGCACCAAATGCTCTATTTGTGGGGAAATAGAGCAGGGGGGGGCCTCCTTTTTAATAGCCAGAGCTGTGAATCTGAAGGCCCTTAAATAAACCCTCCAACAGAGATCTGTTATGCTAGCTGCCCGTGCACAAAGCAGTGCAGGCCAGGGCCCAGGCCAGGGCCTGAACTAGACTAAACTGCACAGTTTTCTGCCAAACTCGGTCAAGGGTCATGACCAGAGGGGGGGGGGGCAAGGAGGGAAAGAATAAAAGAATTAAAAAAAAAAAGCCCCAGCAGCAGCACTAATGAAATATGTTCATGACTAATGAAATATAATAACCACTTGTGTGAAGCAATAGGTAACTTTAGCTAAATGCAATTTCTTAACTCATGCAGCTTCTCCTTTGGGTGATCTGTGACCCACTCCGTGATTCCAGCTATCTGCAAAAATAGTCAATCATAGATCTTCTTTAAGCGTCCCATGGTAACCCCCCTTAACCCTTCACTGAAAAACCCCGGAAAATGCGTCTTGAGAAATGTACCCAAACTGGTGCCAAGCGCCACCCCTGAGGAAAACCGCCAAGCGCCCCTCTACCGAAATAAACACCCACTTCTCGGAAAATGATGAGGAAGGTGCCGGGGGGGAGGGGGGGGACTGACCCCAACCCCAGTTTCTTAACTCATGACTGACCCCAACCCCAGTTTCTTAACTCATGACGTATTGTTTGTACTTTGCTTGCGGTTTAATGCAATAAAGCCGCCTGCGAGCGGTACTCAGGGTGTCAGTCTTCGGACTGCACCCCAGTGCACTGGTATGTATGTCAATAAACTGGCCTCAGGCTTGAGTCTTTGAACTAAAATCACTGCGTGGGGGTCTTTGACCACAACAGGGTCTATACTCACATTGATGCAGATGTGTAATAGTCCCTACTGGCCAAACTCTGAAATGGAGGCTCAAAAAGGATGTAAATAAAACTCTCATATGCAAGTTTGTTGTGTTCAAAGCTATAAATCTGATCTGAGATTCCACAATGCAAAACATTCAAATTAAGATCGGTACATAGGACTGGCAGGCAATGCAATTATTAAATAGGTGTTGCATCACCTCCAACGCAAAAGAAAGTTGCTCAATGACAAACAGACCCTTTGTCTTATCACAGGCCTTGTCTACACAATAAATACTTTGGTGGTATACCTTCATTGGTTTAGCTATATTGGCAGAATCCCCTAGTGTAAATGCAGCTTATGCTAACAAAAGGAGTTTTTCTGTTGGCATAACAATTCAACCTCCTTGAATGGCGCTAAATATGCTGACAGAAGTACCCTTTTATTGGCATAGCTGTGTATAGATTGGGGGTTTTGCCAGCAGAGCTATACTGGCTAGGGGGTGTGGTTTCCCCCTCCGCCCCCCGCCCCTGACTGACATAACTATGCTGACAAAACTTTGTAGTGTATACTTGGTCTCAGAAGCTATTTTTAAAATACATATAAATATTTTGGTCTTAAATTAGACTTCAGGCAGATAGGCACAACTTCACTGACATCAGCAGTGTTGCACTTGATACACTGAAAAAAATGGTACAAGTGAACTTAGCGGACTAGAAAATCTACGCCTTATGCTATATTAGAGTACAAAATAACTAGGGGCATTACAGCTAAGCGCAATGCAAATATGTACAGCAAGAATTCCATGCTTTGGCACAAATGTAAAGAGTTGCTGTAGATTTCAAGCTTTTATTTATATAAAAATTAGGTTTCTAACTCTGTGTGCAGAGAATGCCTTATGAATATAAACTGCTGCAGTACACGGACTGTACACACGAAATAAAAGCTCTGAGAAACACGACTTCCCCATTTATCTCAATGGTTGTTAACACTCGACCCTCATAGTGACAAAGTACATGCCGACTTTTAACTATTTATCAGAAAGCCATTCTAGTAGAAATATCCATATAGTGGGCTTTATCCAGTTTGGTTAAATGCATTACAATTAAAGAATCTCAGACTTATTTTGCAAATTGGCTCTATTTAATCCTCAAATTTGAGTGTTCATATTTCTTAATTGTAAATATTTTCATAGCTGAGTACTTATTATGTTAGGTTTCCGTTGCAGCTGTGAAAGTGCTATAAATCTACCTTAAAATTATAATTGCCCAATTTCCTAAAATATGCTTTTGGGTCCAATCCTGCCAACACATTTATCTATCTTCGGTTTTAATCTCTTGATCATTCCATATGAACACTGCAGTTTTCCCACACATTAAAGTTCAGAAAATACTTTGTAAACCAAAATTTTCTAGTATAAGTAATTATTTGTACACGGGATACCTAGGATTGTAACTGAAGGAAATGGAAGTCAGGTTTATGAGTACCAGTTGAAGATAGTATTGAGTCCGTATCTGAGGACTAAGTAAAGCACCCTTCTTATATAAATTTGTGGATAGAGTTCCTCAAAAAATACCTCAGTCAAGAAAAGGACTACCTGGAACATGAAGCCATGAAGAGATATATAGAGAAAATTCTATACGGACAAGGATTGAGTCAAACATAATTAAATCCACAGGGGCTCAACTGCAAAATTGAACACATATCTGCATATGTACTTGAATGCACATTAAACAGAATTACTAGCTATTTGCAATTACTCGACACTCACAATTACTGGCCATATGAATGCATAATACCACTTTGCATGAAAAAGTATTATTAAGTAAACGCACCATTACAAGCATACACTTATGCAAAGAATCATGTTTTAAAAACATTTTAAAAAATTGAGTGCTGAAACTAAAAATCCCACAGTTCTGATACACATGGGCTATTCCCCTCCTGTCTGTAGTTTCCGGAGGTGGTTCAAAGCTGCAGCACAGCTTGTGCTAGCCATGCCCCACCTCACCCTGCCTGCTGCCAGACGATTCATTCCAAAGCTGTAAAACAAACTCTTACAAAATTATTAGTAACAATAACTTCAGTGCCAACTAACTATGAACAGTAGGCCACTGCCTATATGGTAACCATCCAAATAAAATGCTGACCCTTGGCTCTGAAGCCATCCAAGGTGGCTGGAATTGTGGGAGATGCTGCTAGCAGAAAGATTATTATAAATTTTCCATTCAGCAGCCTAGCATCTCCCACAATTCTGACATGTATGAGAAGTAGTGATCAATGAACAGGAGTAGGGAAGGATAGAAAAATGAACATAAGAAACAGGAAAGACCTATCCTTTTGTAACTGCTCATTTGGCAAGACTATGTGTGGACCTTCCTGCTAAAGGAGACCTCTGCAGAGACAGAAAGTCCACTTCATAGTGTCTGATAGAGGTGTTAATCGATGCCCACGTGGCTGCCCTGCAGACATCTGTGGTGGAAGTGCATGCTTTTTCAGTCCATGAGGTTGCCATGGATCCTGGGCAGAATGAAGGAAGTCAGAGACTCAAAGGCTGGTTACAGGCTTTCAACACCAGTGGTAGGTCCCACTTCGGGAAGATCGGTCTGACTGCTGGTATGGCCAATCTGATTGCTTTGAGAAATCTGAGGGTTTCGCCAAGGAGCCTGAGGGTCCTGTGAGTAGTACACTACTTAGGGCTGATACCAGGTGTGCTATGGTGCTGTCTTGAAGGCCCTTATCCACACTTTCCTGAATGAAGTCTGGAGTGGCTGGAATCCCAATGTCCCTTGGATCTTCACTGCACTCTTGGCACCATGAACTGAGCTTGGTCCACACAGAGGAGTAGTTTTTAGTGTGGAAACTCTTGGATAAGAGCAGAGTCCTGATCACTTTGGAAGATAGCTGAACTCAGCCTAATGCTTCCTTTTCAATAGCCAGGCTGTCAGCTGAAGACTATCTGGGTCTAGATGGAGGAATGGGCTGTGGAAAAAAGATGTCAGGTCTCGATGGAAGATGAAACGGTGTTTCAGATTTCAATTCTATCAGATTGGAGAACCAGGATGGTCAGTATAGACTTAACACTATCACTCTTGCTTCTTCTCAATTTATCTTTTGGATCACCATTCCTAGGAGAGAGAAGGGCAAGAAATGTGTAGAGTACGTTTTGCTGCCATCTGTCAACAGAGCATCTGACTCCATTGACTTGGGGTCTGCTTCTCAAGTGACAAATTGTGGCTGTTATTCATTCTTGCAATTGGCAAACAGGTTGACTGAGGAGAGACCACATGTCTGCAAAATCAGAGTGAAGACTTCCTGGTTCAAGTATCACTCTGAGTAGTTGACTTTGCACCTGCCTTTGGTTCTGCTCCCCTTTTACATGTATGGTCTTTAGTTAAGGGAGAGTCTTGTCTGCCCATTCCATGGTCTCCATCACTTCTTGTTCACCCTTGGTTGTGAATGCATGCAACGGTGGTCATGTTGTCTGGCTGACAAACAAAGACATGGTTGCCCTCTAGGTAACTCTAAAATCTCAACAGAGCTTGTTTGGCAACTGTGGTTCCTATCCCCAGAGCTCCAGATATCCTACATTGTTCTTGGTCCCAGAAGTGCCCCTCCTTCCCAAACTGGCATCTTTTGAGAACCTGCTGGCCTGGAAGGCATATGGGAAGACCCCTCTGCACGGTCCCTGGGACTGTCCATCATCTTAGGTGATCCAGTCCCTAGATTTGCATGTATACAGAGGAATGGTCCCATACTCTCAGAAGAAAGGCCTGGAGACACTTGGCATGTGACTTCATCTATGGGGAGACCCATACGTGTGAGACCAGCAGATCCAGTGGCTAGAGACACTGAGCTATGAATGGCCTCATGCATTTGTCCAGCATGAATAACAGATCTTCTATAATCTGTCTACCATCTTTCTCTGCTCCAACTCTGTCTATCGAGAGAACTAGGAAGCTTTTTCTGGTGTCATTGCAAAGCCATGTGCTTGGGAGGGGCTATCCA